GGGATTCTAATTACATTTAATTGTTCTTGAAAGAAATATAGTATATTAAAAATTAAAAGTAAAAATATTTCAAATCGTAGTTAAATAAAAAGTATTCTAACCTAAACACCCCCCAAAAATCTTTAAATATACGAAGGAAAAAATGCCGTAAGAATTTTAGACGTTAACAATAAAATAAAAAAAAATCCAGCGACATGCTTTTAACGGATGTTAGATTTCATTGAAAAATACATCCCTACCCATTACCAAAACGTAGCAATAACTGATACATTAAAATATAGACATAATAAACACCCAGACACCCATCGTCTAGTAAACTGGATTCATCTGTAACCTTGAAAACATGAATTATGATTTTAGCTGTGTCTTTAAAACCAAGTAATTTTAAAAGTTACTCCAAAATTCGCTTGAGGATGAAATGGAACTAATGTCTTTAATTTAATTATAAAATTAAATTCGGGGCTTTTAGCTTCCATTTTTGAAACATGGTTAGAACTGTGTAGCGAAAAAAACATATTTTAAATCAATTAATTTATAATATATATATATATATATATATATATATATATATATATATATATATATATATATTTATTTTAGGATAATACATCAAAAATCTGTAAAAAACGCTACATATTTTGATGCGTATTAACACAGATCTCATCAGGTGTTAGTAAATTAGCTTGAGATTTAAAAACAACATACACCCTCTTTTCTTTTGGCTTACGAACATTTGGCCGAGAGACATTTGACTATACGAACATTTGGCGGAGTGACATTTTGACCGAACGGACATTTCGACGAGAGACATTTGGCCAAACAGACATTTTGCTGAGAGACATTTGGCCGGGAAAAATTTGTCCGAACGGACATTTGGATGACGGATATTTGTCGAGAAACATTTGGCCGAACGGACATTTGCCCGAATGTATATTTGGCCGATGTACATTTGACCGAACCCATATTTCGCCGACGGACATTTGTCCGAGAGACATTTACCGTACGGTCATTTGACCGTGCGGACATTTGACATTACGGACATTTGACATTACGGACATTTGGTCGAGAGAATTTGACCGAACCCACATTTGGCCACAGACATTTGACAGAACGGACATTTGGCCGACAGACATTTGGCCGAGCAAACATTTGGCGGACGGATATTTGGCCGAGAGACATTTGAACGAACGCACACTTGGCTGACGGACATTTGGCCGAGGGTCATTAGGCCGTACTGATATTTGGTCGATAGACATTTGACCGAACGGACATTTGGCCAAGTGACATTTTTCCGTACGGTCATTTGGCCAAGTGACATTTTTCCGTACGGGCATTTGGCCAGTTGACATTTATACGAACAGAAATTTGACCGATGGACATTTGCCTAAGAGGCATTTGGCCGTGAAACATTTGGCAGAACGAACATTTAAGCGAGGGAAAATTGCCCGACGGACTTTTGCCGAGCGACATTTGGCCGAAAGGGCATTTCGCCGAGAGCCATTTGACGGATAGACATTTGGCAGACGGGTATTTGGCCGGGAGACTGACAGGCATTTGGCCGACTGACAGGCATTTGGCCGACTGAAATTTGACCGACTGAAATTTGCCCTACTGAAATTTGGCCGAGAGAGTGTTGACCGCACGGACATTTGGCCGAGAGACATTTGGCCGACGGACATTTTGCCTAGAGACATTTGACCGTATGGACATTTTGCCGAGAGACATTTGGCCGGAAAAAATTGGCCAAACGGGCATTTGGACGACGGATATTTGGCCGAGAGATATTTGGGCACACGGACATTTGGCCGCGAAAAATTTGGCCGAATGTACATTTGGACGACAGACATTTGGCCGAAAGTCTATTTGACTGAAAATCCATTTCGTCGACGGATATTTGGCCGAGAGACATTTGAGCGAGCAGGCATTTGGCCCAGATACAGTTGACCCAACGGACATTTGGCCGGGGAACATTTAGCCGTGAGACATTTGGCCGAAAGAACATTTGACCGACGGACATTTGACCGACGGATATTTTGTCGAGTGACATTTGGCCGAACGGACATTTGTCTGAAAAACATTTGGCCGGAAGGACATTTGACATACGGATATTTGTCGAGAGACATTTGGCCGACTGATATGTGAACGAATGGATATTTGGCTAAGAATAATAAGTGGCATCTAATTATTTATATTCGTATTTAACAGTACGATACAAACTAGCTCATACCTTTACGATAATGATCATTAAAAAGATCTTTCATATCGTAAAAGCTTAATATATTTGCTGGAGAAAAATGTGGTTTTACAGTAACATATGAAGTAAAATATAATATATACAGAATAAAATATCGAACAATTTCCAATTAATACAATAAATAAATATAAATTTGTCGCACATTACGAGTGTGACATACATTTAAGTACGCCACTACATTTTCGGCTAAATGTCCATTCGGTCAAATGTCCATCGGGCATGTGTCTGTTCGGCCAAATGTCCGTTCAGCCAAATATCCGTCGGTCAAATGTCCGAGTACACAGTGTTACAGTTTTTTTTGTGTATATATAGATGTAACTAGTGAGTTAGTCAAAATGACTTAACTCCCTTTATAGTCTACCAATAGAAAGTTAACCAATCAGAAGCCGCAGAACATTGTATCCGTCGTGTATAAAGGCGGCCATTTTTGTTTACCTACCCGAATGACCAGTGCCAACTTGTCCGGCGAAGATGACAGAAGGAAGTACTACACTCTGCTACATTGCTGCGATATCCATTGCGAACCTGAACTACGCTTTCCTACTGTCTTCGAAATATTCACTGCTAACCTCTGGATTCTATACTCAAAGACGACCGTCAAAATGTCTAACACACAGTTACATGCTTTCAACGACAGATAAAATGTATTGATGCTAATTTTACTACAAATAGCTATTATTGGTATTTTTTTTTTAAATATAAAATGTGTTGCTGGTATTTACACGATAAAAAAATCTATTTTTATACTTTCATCGTGTTTTGTGTTTGTTTGAGGAATTACTATTTGCCCATAGCTAGGATCCTAACAGGTGCTGCAACCCCGACTCAGGGTTGAGCTGGGAACAATAGCAATTATGTAGTGGTTCCATTCACCTCAAAACTCTCATCTCACCCGATCAGAGATCTTGCTGACAGGATGCAGTTTCTAGTTGTGATTTAATGTAAAATCTCTGAATCATACATTTAAAATCAGACATAATGAAAAATACACTCGAAAAACACTATGTCCGAGTTTATTACTGAACTCACTATTCTCAATATTTTTTTAATAAAGCAATCGAAAATTTCAGCACATAGATATAGTCGCATTAAATAAATTCACATATAGCCAAATTTTGTCTGTGTGTTCTCAAACGGAATCTGAAGAACAAAACAGTTCACATAGTAACCATATAGACATTCAGATTCATATTAGCCTTTTATAAAAATTACGCACATTGAGTTCGGAAACGTAAGCGGTGACATTTAATTCGCATGACAATTCGTAAAGCATACCCAGTGTGTGACATTTATTTTAAATTTTAATTTTGAGTATTGCCAAATCTATCTATCTATTTATCTATCTATCTGTTCCTTCATGATCTATTTTCAATACGCTCATTTCTACCAATGTTTTTATGTGAAAAGGAAGATATGAAGCTGGTCCTAAAGAAATAAATTATAATACCATGAACACTTAAAGTCGGCTGTTTAATATAATTAATATTTGCTCCGTTTTGACATTGAGCTCTCTGGATTATATCCTCCTTTAATTATCCATACGGATTAACAAATAATTTCATTTATTTATATATATATATATATATATATATATATATATATATATATATATATATATATATATATATATATATATATATATGCCATGAATAGACAAAACTTACTTTTATTATTACCACTCATAATAATAAAAGGTAAAAATAAAAAACGGGCTAGCTAACCGGTTTCCTACCTCGCTCAACAGAGCTAAATCGAGGAAAATACAGTGAATTATATAATTAAAAAAAACAACAATGGACAAAGTTTATTGGTGGGAAGCAGAAAAAAAATTAAATGGCAACTAGTTGGAAGCCTAATATAAAGTCCTTTTATTTACAAAGAGAAGGCTTTAATCATAGAATATAGATGGCCTCCAACACTTTTAGGTAATAATATATATATATATATATATATATATATATATATATATATATATATATATATATATATATATATGTGTGTGTGTGTGTGTGTGTGTGTGTGTGTGTGTGTGCAAATAGATAGAGAAACAGGAAAGAACCGTTAGTATTTTAGTATTTTTGTTTTTATTTTTAAAAACAGTGCTGAATACATATGTAGAGCCTAAATTATAATTATTTTTGAAAAATATGATTCCATCGCTACATAAGAGTTCTCATGTTTCAAAAAATAGAAGCTAAAATACAGCTCTGTTTCATCCTCACTTGTTTTTAGCTTCTGTTTTAGAAACCTGAGAATTCTTGTAGCGATGGAATCATATTCTTAATATATATATATATATATATATATATATATATATATATATATATATATATATATATATATATAATTCATTATATTGAAATTAATTTAATCTGCATTGTGAGGGTTAATTTAGAAAAAAATCAGTAATAATTAAGAAAATCTTCAGTCGTAATTTCAGAATAAAGTTTTTTAAGTTTGGTTTGGTTTTGTGTGTTTTATGGTATATGAACCTCAGGTTTATTTAGTGTCCACATTTTTTTTTTAACATATACAAAGACATATGAATGGAAAAGTTTTCTTTGTAAAAAATCACTTTCTAAATCAAGTTTCATTAGCACTATTACAATGATAGCTTCTGTGAAGGGATAAGTCTTTAAAGATAAAAATATATAATATTTGCTTTTAAAAGTTGTCTTACAATTATTTTCATACTGCGTTCATAGTAATCCATGCTGTCGTCTGCTATTTCATATTACTACTATGCTTACGGCCACATCACGTTGAAACATTGGTTCCCGTACGATCACCAAAGCTAAACAGCATCGAGCCCGATCAGTACCTAGATGAGTGATCACTTGAGAATATCAGGTGCTGTAAG